CTAGTACTAATAGTAATACATTACAGTATTATGCGTATACTACTACTAGTAATATAACTTTACAGTTTACTGAGTAACCAGCTAGCTTTAGAACTTTATAGGTATATAGCCACAGGCCCTTGGAGGCTCAAGTTTCAAGAAGAGTATAAGATTACAAAGTGATTATTTCCCCGGCAAGCCGGACAACTAAGCTAAGAAATCAAACTAGCTTCTCCGGCAAAAAGCAGACTATGCCTGCGCCAAACTCCATGCCGGATAAACAAGTGCCTAATGCCGTAGCGCCATGCTACCTCGTGGCAAACTGCTCACAGTGTAAGTTCTCTCCGCCAGGCGCGCTGCGTAGACCACGTCTTCCCGCCTAATACAGCGGTGGCGGGACACTTCGGTCTGCCGCAGAATTTAACTATGATTTTCAGCACTGCTTCTACGGCAAAGCCGGAGAAGCAGTGCTGAAAACGTACACTTGTTTCTCCGGCACCGGAGATCTAACAAGAAATTTGTTCTTAATTCTCCGGCGGCCGGAGAACTACCGATGGTTTTCACCGCTGCTTCTCCGGCTGCCGGAGAAATAATACCAGCCATAAGATTAAGAGCGAAGTGGCGCTTCGCTCTTATACTCTTCTTGAAACTTGAGCCTCCAAGGGCCTGTGGCATAGCCCTTCGCTCTGCCACAGCCCACAGGCTCCTCTGACAGCTTGTTCTCAGAAGGGTGGTTTAAACACAGGCACTTGGAACGTCTCAATAAAAAAAAAGAGAAGGTAAATAAACACGAAATGTATTTACTACCAAAGTTTTAATGTTTCTCTACACTATTTCGCCTATAATCACCTGTAAATTCCGGTCAAATGCTCATCTGCAACACACAAGTACACCGCACGCTAGCTGCTGCACACTGACACATAAATATATAGCGTAAAAATAATAATACTATATATTTATGTGTCAGTGTGCAGCAGCTAGCGTGCGGCGGCCAGCCTGTAACAGTGTGTTGCAGATGAGCATTTGGACGGCATTTACAGGAAAGCAGACTTGACCCTGGTAGTGGTACCACTTTTTTAGCAATAATTACTGAATCAGTCTATATGTTCATTATTGACAATGATCAGCTTCAAGAGCTTGCTAATTTACGCATTTCTATTCTATAAAGGGCTCTAATCCTAATCTAATCCAATGCAGCTGTGAGACCAACCGATTATATAGTCATACCAGGGAAAAAAATATAATTTATTTTTCGGGGGCTACTTTTCAAGCTCGCGTGCATGAAAATAGCACTCTAAAATTTGGTTTGCATTGAACTCTATGCAAATTTCCGGGGCTCTTTTTGGCATTTCCGGGGCTCTTTTTGGCATTTCGGGGGCTAAATCGCTAAATCGCCCCGAGCCCCTGTGTATTTTTTTCACCGAGTCATACAGTAAATGACTGCTTCTTGAAGCTAACTATACCGTTTAACCCTAACCGTCATTTTTCATATATAGTTGATTTGCATGGGAAGCTTGTACATAGGATGGCCTTCTAAGCAATACTTACACAATTGGAAATTTCTACAGAATGACGCTGTCCGACCAGAAGGTTGCCCTCGTTACGGGTGCCAATGGTGGGGTCGGTTTGGCACTGTGTGAGAGGATGCTGGCTGAAAACCCCAAACTAAAACTGATACTTGCGTGCCGGAACCTGGCCAGAGCTATTGCGGCAAAGAAGGTGCTGACGACCGGAAGACCAGCGGCCAGCGTCGACATCGTACTGATGGACGTCAGCTCCGTGGCGTCGGTCTACCGCGCCGCACGCGAGATCTCGCAGGCGTACGACAGGCTCGACTACCTGTTCCTCAACGCCGGGTTCATGAAAGTGACGCACGTAGACTGGCAGTCGTTCTTCGGCCGCCTCTTCACGGCGCAGTGCGTGGAGATGCTGGCAACGGGCAAGGGCCTCCTCGTGCAAGACGGGCAGAAGACGCCCGAAGGCCTGCAGGCGGTTTTCGCGACGAACCTCTTCGGCCACTACGTTCTCCTGCGCGAGGTCGACGCGCTGCTGCGTCGCGGCGCGCGCGTCGTGTGGACGTCGTCGGTGAACGCGAGCAGTGCGGAATTCGACATCGCCGACGTGCAGTGCGCGCGCGGCGCCGAGCCGTACGCGTCGTCGAAGCACGCCGTCGACCTGACGAGCGTCGCGCTGAGCGAGCGCTGGCGCGACCGCGGCGTACACTCGCACGTCACCTGCCCGGGACTCGTGCTGACCAATCTGACGTACGGCATACTGCCGCGATGGTTCTGGACTCTGATCGTGCCGCTGCTCTACCTGATGCGCGTCTTCCTGCCCAGTAACACCATCGACCCGTACCACGGCAGCGAGGCGCACGTCTGGGTGGCCAACCAGCGCGCCGAGTCGCTCGACCCCGCACTCAAGTACTGTAGCCGGGTGTCCGTTCTCGGCAACGCCTACACCGACGCGTTGAAGTTGGACGTGACACTGGACGAGGGAGAGCACCTGCTTGACCAGTTGAGCCAGCTTGAGCTGGATATGAGGCAGAAATTTAAAAAATAAAGTACAATTTTAATAAGCGAGTAATTGACCAGTTAGTGTCGTAGTCATAAATTGGATGTTGTCGGCACTTCGATCATTTGGCTTTAAAATATTGTGATATGATTTGTTGTAATGTTTATTAATTTGAATGCTTTTATGCCTTCTTACCCATAAGCAGGAGTCATAACATTGTATTTGCTCCTGCCGTAAGTGAAACATAATGCACAGTGAAATACCACACAGTGCTACATGATGGGCATATGTGTAGTGTCATGGCAATTCCGGTACAATGTATTACTAGTCCAATGAATTGATATTATGATATTCATTGTATTTTTACTGTAACTTTGATGTCATTTACTCAAAGCGACAATCTAAGTACTTGTATTTATTTTATCTGAGAAAATATACTAAATACAAGTAAATGTTCACTAAGTTTATAAAAAAAATTAACGGGAAATGATGTGATAGAAATATTTGTTGATTGTTTAACGAAAATTATTGTCATTATTTAACTAATTTTGAGATAAATAAATCAGTAATTTTTCTATTGATATTCTTTTCATGCATTTACTATTAAGATTAATTATATCAATATCAATATCTCTCTCTATATATATATATATACAGTAGCGGGATACCCGGCGTTGCCCGGGGAAATCAGTGGCGTTACTCAGTTGGTGACCGCTTGGTTGAAAGGAAAATACCCAAAAAAATCGGGTATCTATCTATCCATGCATCCATCCATCCATTCATTGCATTCCATGCCATGCCATCCCATCCCATGGCACCGCATCCCATCCCATCCCATATCCCATCGCATGCCATCTCATCGCATCCCAGGCCATGCCATGCCATGCCGTCCCATCCCATCCCATTGCACCGCATTCCATCCCATCCCATCCCATCCCATCCTATCCCATGCCATCCCATGCCATCCCATCCCATCCCATTGCACCGCATTCCATCCCATCCCATCCTATCCCATGCCATGCCATGCCATCCCATCCCATCCCATCCCAGTGCATGCCATTCCATCCCATCCCAACAGTAAAAAATAATAAGAAATCAAAAGATAAAAGTTATTAAAATAAAAAAGTCAAAAATTATAAATAATAAAATGAAATTATATAAAAAATGTAATAATATTTGATCTGTAACCTACATAGGCTTCCGTGAAGTGTTCCCGTCAGTTTGCGCTATTATTATCATCTACCATAGTTTATTCTGGATTTTTACTAAACGTTTAAATGTAGTAAACAAAATTGAAATTAACGGTGAATACGGCAGAAGTACATACTAAACAGTCCAAAAGTAAAGAAACAAAGCATTTCCCGAGGTGGGATTCGAACCCAGAATCAATGGTTTAGGAGTCCAATGCTTTATCCATTCGGCTATTGGGCCGTTATGGTTATACACCATGGATTCACACGTATGTGATGTATAATGTTAATCTGTACGCCATCTATTTATGAATAGAATTTTTATAAATTTGTAACTTTTCAACTTTTTTGAAATTTTGTTTCTGCCAGAACCACCTCCCATACGTGCCAATTCTGAAAATACATTAGTTTTCCTCTAGGCTGCGGAGTTCTCTAGTTATGCGCGAAACACACACATTCGGCTGAACAACTTTATATATATAGATATGCAAGTGCTTATAAATACCATTATATTACCATTGCCATTCATATACTATTATAAATACCATTATATATATAATATTATAAATACCATTATATATATAATATTATAAATACCATTATATATATATTATTATAAATACCATTATATATATAATATTATAAATACCATTATATATATACTATTATAAATACCATTATATATATATTATTATAAATACCATTATATATATATTATTATAAATACCATTATATATATATTATAAATACCATTATGTATATATATCAAGAGCTTATAAATACGGGTACTATACCGTATAAACACGGGTATTTATAAGCTCTTGATATAATAATTAATATACTATAAGCACACTGTCTGTGTATTGGTGCCTCCCCTTAAACTACCAAGTCCCTACCCAGCATGTACTATTAGGCTTGAGAAATATTTTCATTAATGATGACAGAATTTGTACAAACAATGGAAATCGGCCGACTTTTCCGCCATAGTGATGCCAGTGCTCGCTAGCTGCCATTATTCGAAACTATGGTGAAAGGTGGCTGTAGAGAGAGAGATATCTTTGAAGTAGTATGGACATGATCCTCATTTTTAGTGTCTTCCACGATGCTAAATTTCACTCTAATAATTTACATGCCTTTTACTGCGACTCGTTACAAATTAGTTACCGAAGTTACACAGTAATATATCTTAAATGAATAAGAAAATAAAGGAACCCGGGGATTGTCACCTGTGAGCTTTTCCTGTTTTGTCTAGGTGGGATGGCCTCATCAGAGCAGCGGGTCGTGTGTGTGGGGCTCATCTGCTTCGACATGATCACTGTATGCGACGGCTTTCCACTCGAAGATACCGACACGCCCTGCAGGGAGCAGCACTGGGCGCGCGGCGGAAACGCGTCGAACAACTGCACGGTGCTGCGGCAGCTCGGCGTGCCGTGCGAACTCGTGGGCACCCTCGCGGCCGACGACGCCGCCAAGTTCCTACGCGACGACCTCTCCACGTGTGGCATCCCTCACGACCGCTGCGTCGAGGACCCCGCGGGGGCGACGCCCACCGCCTTCATCATCATCAACGCCCTCAACGGCTCGCGCACGATACTGCACGAGAGCACGCGCGCCTCGGAAGTGACGGCGGCGCAGTTCGACGACGTCGACTTGCGGGGGTGCGGCTGGGTGCACTTCGAGGGCCGATCGCGAAACGTGGCGGAGATGCGCGAGATGGTGGCGAGGATTCGCCGCGACGACGCCGCAGACTCCATCGTCGTGTCTGTCGAGCTCGAGAAGCCGCGGCGCGAGATGGAGCAGCTTCTCCCGCTCGGAGATTTCGTCTTCGTCGGCAAGGAGTTTGCCGTCTTCAGCGGGTACGAGTCGATGCGGGCGGCGGTCGAGGGCCTGCGGGAGAAAGTCCGCGGTGGCGCCACCGTCATTTGTCCGTGGGGAGAAGAGGGTGCTTGTGCGAGCACGTCTGATGGCACGGTGTTCACGGCCGCAGCCGAGCCGCCGGAAAAGGTCGTGGACACGATTGGGGCGGGCGACACTTTCATAGCAGCCTGCATCGCGCAGCTGTACAAAGGCGCCTCTGTGGAGGCGGCCATTCAAGCAGGATGTCGGGTGGCAGGTGCAAAGTGCGGCCAGATGGGACTCAAGGACCTGAAATTACCTCCTCCTTCACCCCTCTGCAAACCACGTGAGGGGACAATTAATTTAAATCTCTAGTGCGCGGTATCTGTGACACTGTCGCCATCTTTTTAGCGCAGGTTAAACACACTTCAACACTTTTAACCTCACAATGATATCAGGAATGTATAGATAATAATAATATATAATAATAGATCTAGTTACACTCCTGCTGATACAGGGAAGTCTTGACAATAATATCAAGTCATAGACGTAATTGGTTAAATATTTTATTCGTAACATGAAGACTATGGTGTAGTCTTGAAATCTGGTAGTATCATTTTGCATTCTCACTCACTATATAAGAAATGCTGTGGCAAAATGTACAGTGTCCATACCTACTATGTAGCATCTATTTGTTATTATACAAACTGTAGTGTATTTCTAGTGTGCAACACAGTGTAACAACATTTACATGTGTAGCATAATAGACATAAGCTGCGTTTACACGAGATACACGGCCTCGCTGGTTCCGTACTTATCTGGTGCTGAATTCGGCTGAAATACCGTGCTAACATAACCCGCAGCGCTCACACGAGAATCGAGGCTTAGCTGGCTAGGTATAATATAGACTGGTACCCGGTCGACAGTTCCACACACTATACTAACGTCGTGTAGCGAACAGGTACCA